AAACATACACACAAACACAGATAGTACATACATTCCTATATTTATTTACGTGATTTTCTCTATATAATGTAGATATAGAAAGGAATACCAGCAGGATGTTTTAGATACTATTTTTTATTACAGTTTAGTTGGCATTATAGTTGAGTTACTCGATTTTTAGAGAAAATAAAAAAAAAATAAATAAATTTTTTTTTCTTTTTAGTTTTTGTTTGCTGTGGTATCGAAAAAAAAATTTTTTTTTTTGTTTTTGTCCATCAGGTGTTGAAGAAAATATTTTTAATACTAAATATAGAATAAACATATTCTATACACAATTTATGTATGTATGTTAATTTATAAATGAAATACTTACATACATAATTTATACGAAAGATATATTGTGTGCATTTAATTCGAATCCAGTAAAGAATGCATAGATAGACTATATTTCTTTAATAGATTTTAGCATCAATGTATTACAGTATAGGCTCGAATTTATGTGAATCAATATAAAATGGCAAAACGAATTGAAATGAATGAAAATTGTTCAAGGAGTACCCAAATAATTTCAATCGGAATTTCTGTTCTATCTCGGCAAGATTTACGAAATTTCGGGTCCAAAATTTCGTATCAATCTAAAAATATTTCAAAATTTTTTAACAATTCAATAAGATGGCGTCATACTAAACAAAATTTTTTTGGAATATATAGAAATTATGACGAATTTTTCTTGACAGTTTTTGAATTTTCAAAACTGTTAAATAATTTATAAAATTTAACATAGCCTTAATATAGATTTCCTTATATTGAAATAAAAATTTGTCCCTTTCAGCATTTTTCCCTGATACTTGAAAATTTTCTCACTAATTTTCATCTATTAAACATATTCGTATAATTTATTTCGAAAACCAACTATTTGTTAGCAAGTTAATGTAAATCGGGATTCTACTGTAATAACATACTACTATTGGTATTGGTTATGTATACTTGTGCCAAAAAACAAGTTAAAAACCCAGAGGTATAAGTGCAAAAATTTTGTAATTCAATTTTTGGACTTTTTAATATTGTTTAGTTGTATATAATTTTGGAGAAAAAAAAAAAAAAACTTTCCAAAAGGAAGAAACTTTCAATTTTAAAAGTTGATTTTTGAGAGTAACATAAAATTTTTCTTTATTCTACTTTTTGTTTGGGATTTTATTTTTTCATATTATGTAACCATGTGTATATAAATTTAGACAATATTAAATTAAAATTGTATGTAACATTACGATATACGATATTAGAATTTTTTTTTTTTTTTTGTAAATTAAGTGAACATGAACACAAAATATATACAAAAATTAATTTGAACAATAAGAAAAATGAAATTTTTTAAAATTTTCTTCTTGATGATTTGAGGGTGGCTAACACTTATGAAAAAATTCTTGTTTAAAATTTTTCAAATTTTTCTAATAAAATTCTGTTAAATTTTCGTTTTGAATGCTTTGGAATCTAAAATTATGTTTTTCTGAGTGTATTTTTATATTTACAAAATATATGCATACAAGTTCGTTCATATTTACTAAATATTTATGAAGGTGTGCAAGTGTATAATGTAAATTTATTGAAAACAAGAAAAAATGGGATCAATTTTTTAATGGTGCTTTTTTCTTTTAAATTTTATGAATAATGCAAAAAATGAAATGAAAAGTGAAAAATTGAATAAGAATTCAATGAAAATAAAAATTAAATACGTAGGGGTCTCAATTTTTTTTTTAATTTTGAATTGGAAAATATACAAATGAGCAAGGTTAATTTCAATAAAAAAAAAATTGATTTATTAATTACCAAAATTATTGTTAAGTTGTTCAATCGAATTTTGGTTTTTTTTTATTTCAAAACTTAAGTGATTTTAGATAATATTGCAAATATTTAATAATTTTTTTAAAAAACATTTTTGATATTGATATTGATTGATGTTGCTTTGTTGAAAATTATTTTCAGATTATGGAACATAGATAAGGCGAACAAGTTTCTATTGTTTTGCATAAGAATTATAAAGAAGATTTCACATATATTTGTGATAATTTAAAAATTAATTGCCGCTTTTGCTAGAAATTTTTAATACTCGTAAAGCACTCTGTATTAAATAAGCACTCTGTTCAAAAATCAAACCAATTATTAGAAGGAAGAGTTATAGGGCCTTGATGAAAGAGTTATAAAATCGCAGAAAGAAAACTTTAAAAACTGTATAGAAATTTTATGCCAATTTTTCTAATATTTCACCGACATATTATTTGCATATTCAAATTCAAACCTTATTCAAATTGCTAAAAACAAATTTAGCTCGAGAAGAGATTTTAAAGGATTGAAATATTTTCATAAAAATTTTAAAATAATTTAATTTTTCATAAAATTAAATGCAAATTGACTTTGGCCCTAAATTGTATAAAAAATACCAAGAACTCCTATTGATACCCTTACAAAAAATTATCTATGTATAGTTAAATAACACCATAAAGTATGAATAAACACAAAAAGAAAAAAAAAAGTATAAGAAAATGTAAAATTAGTTGAAAATTTTTCATTTTCAATATTATTCATGATCTTCTTCTTCGTCTTCTTTTGCTCTTTCATTAATTTGAATCTTGATTTAATTATATTTAAACCTGTTGATCCATTGTATAAAAATATATTTAATTTACTTTTGTAAATCGTTTAAATGTTTAATAAATCCAGATTCCTTCAGTTGAAAAAAAAATTTCTTTAGAACTTGTACAAAATTTTACTTTCATTTTTTCCTAATTTAGTTTTTTTTTTTCTTATCAAAAAAAATGAAAATCGAAAATTTAATAAAAATTAAAAATAAAAAGAAAAATAAAGGAAAAGCAATAATCGGATTAAAAAACAAAAACAAAAGAAGAAAAACGGGAAAATTTAAAAATGAGTGAAGAATGAGAAAAAAATTTTTTTTCTTCAGAATAAGCCTTAAGGAATCGATTGAAATTTTAATTTCTTTTTTCCTCAATTTCATTTTTAAATTGCTTAAACATTTTGAAATTGCTTAAGAAAATAAAGAAAAATTTCTTGTTACTTATAATATTACTGAAGTACGTCAACCTGATTTTGGGACACATTCTGATTAATATAGAAGTATTTGAATTTTACTCAGATCTCTCTGGTTTTAATTTTACTAGTAAGATCTCTCAGAAAAAACAGTCGGAATGCCATCGGAAAAAATATAGTAGGGAAAATATTCTGATTCCCAGAATATATTCCGAAGCTGTAAATAAAATTGGTAGATTCATAGGGAACTGAGCAGGCCAAGAGAAAATATCATCCGGATCACCGTGGCCATTCACGACTTATTGTAGCCTCTCCACCCGACTTATTGTAGCCTCCCGTCTAAAATATCCTTTTTTCAACCATAAAACTTAAAATATCCGCAAAAGAATTAGGCAACAGTTTTCGAAAGCACAGGAAACCCTGCCAACGATAATTACGACGCTGTACAGCTAGTACCGGACAATCACAAATACTGTGCACAACGTCACATCTCGTCACCTTCCCCATAAAATTTGGACAAGATTTGGAGTCCAATTTTCCCAGCTTATGCAGGTGATACCTTAATCTGCAATGTCCAGTAAAGGAATTCGCAGTACCAAGAACCGGGTTTATATCCATCTCAAACAACCACGCGGTTAATCAATCAATCGCTCAATGGACGACTCTCTTAAAGATGAATTGAATTTTGCATTCGCTCATGTACTGGACGCAATTTAAATCAGAAATTTTGAAAGGGACAGATAAGGGAGCTCTTTCAAAAAGTATAAAATATAACACTTTCAAAAATTTTAATAGAACGAAAAAAACTGAAAAAACGAAGTGGTAAGAAAATAAATTTAAAATTTTGAGTTTGTCTCTACCGTCACAGTTTTGTCGCAGTAATTCATAGTGCTTGTATGGCTATTCAAATTTGTCTAGTTTAACTACAATAATCAGAAAATATGAAAACGCGTATAACAAATACAGATTTCCTTTCAATAATATCAAGATTTTTTAAATGATTTCAAAATAAATTTCATAAATTTTAAGAAGATCATTGATTTTCTTATTTGATTAAAATGAAAATTATAAAGTACTTTGAAAGTCGATTACAATACTTAAATTTATTATGTGTTACCATTATTTTTCTTATTTTTTTTAATAAAAACTGTGATACTCTTACTTTTTACCAAATGATTTTTTATACTCAGCCGATGATTTAAATAAAAAAAAAAAATAAAGTAAGACAAGCGAAATAAAAAACTAAAAGAAAATTTAATTTCCACAAGAAGTCAACGTAAAAGTCAATAAAAACCGTATAAAAAAAAAAGAAAGATTTTAAAACTGATATACTACGTGCTTTACAGAAGAAAAGAAGATAACACTAAATTTTAACGTTTTGAGAACTTAATCATCGAAAAATAAGAAGAAAAAACAAGTGAAAAACACACACATAAAAAAATAAAATTTCATCTAGTCTCGAGGCTTTTTTAAATTCGTTTTAAAGTTAAGAATAAGGAAATGAGATGACAATATTATTTAATTTTCTCATTATTATGTGTGTTTCTTTTCTCTTTCTAACTTCTTGTTTTAAGCCTAATACATACTTTTATACATATAATTAATAATGAGAAATGATAATGGAAATAGAGAAAAATGAGGCGATCTCTAAAAAACTTTAATAAAATTTTGGGTAATTGAATTAGGAGAAGAAGTCTATTGAAACTGATTCTTCTTCTTCTTGTCAAACTTACTTTTATTATTATTGATAGTGAGCTTATATAAATGTTATACAGCAGTATATATCAATATTTATATTTCTGTTATACAAAAGTGCATATTAATAGTTAGTTTATATAAGCCAGTATGTATAGCATCAACAATTTGTGGGGTTCCATTTTAGAGTACATATATATTATAATATTCTAAATGTATGACACTTCTGGTATATAACAACTACGCATTAGAAATTACGCATATTTATTCCGATAGATGACTTTTTACTTTTACATGAATATAAATGTCTAATTCTAATATTGAAATTTCTATTTCTGTATAACAGAATTTTCGTAATACTTTTTATTTCCAGAATTTTCGTACTAGTTCCGTTATATGTATAGCAGAACTTGCCTACTCATTTTTATTCCTGTATAACAGAATTTTTGTGCTAGTTATAATTTCCAGAATTTCCGTTCTGTTATATGTATAACAGAATTTGTTTACTAATTTTTATTCCCGAATTAACAGAATTTTCGTGCTAGTTTTTATTTCGGTATAACAGAATTTTCGTACTAGTTTTTATTCCTATATAACAGAATTTCTGTAATCTATAAAGAATATCCTGTATAACAGAATTATGTTTCTAGAAAGTTCAAGTTGACTTTTTAAGTCGAAAATTTTTTAAATTTTCTAAAAAATTTTTAAATATACTTTTTCAATTACTTTTTTAATAATCCCGCAGTACTCGTAGTTCCAAATAAATATAATGTTATACATCTTTAAAAATAAAACCAATGAATATTTACTGTAAATTAAAATTTTAATTTGAAAAGAACGTCTTCCGATATATTCCTGTTGCTTTTTCTCTCTCTTTTTTGTGTATTGTGTATATAAATTCAAAATTACTGATGACAGCTTGTTGATGAAATGCTTATACATATATAAGTAAGACAAAAATTTTTTTTTTGCGAAAGTAGCGCTTTTAAAAAAGAAAACAAAAAAAAATGCCGTATAAAATTAAAATTCTTACTTTATTTAATTTTTTTTTTTTTGTTTTGTTATATGATTGAATATTGCAGAAATCATTACTAATATAGCCGTCATCGCATCACCATCATCGTCACTACTATCATCATTATTTTATCATGATTATTATCAAAGTTTCGTATTAATATAAGAAATACCGTTAAAAAAAAAAAATAGCAATTTAAAAGATTTAAATGGCGATGGCAGTGAAAATAATGAAGTGAGAGAGAAAAAAAAAAAATGTTATAAAAAAATTTTTATTCTTTTTTTTTTTACGTTAGGCGCTAGTAAAGACATTTAATGCAAAGGAGTCGCCGAAAAATTAAAAAAAAAAAAACTGGAGAAAAAAAATTTTTTTTTTTTTTTATAATTTTTTTGGGGAAAATTTTTTTAATGGATTTCATTTTCCTTTTTCTTTCTATATTTTTTTTTTAATGTTAATTGAATTGAAAATTTTTTTCTCCCCACTTATTTTATCGTTTATTAAATAAAAAAAAAAGAAGGGATTTATGAGAGATCGGTTTTCTTATGCTGTTTGTGTATTTTTTTGCTTCCGGACCTTGATGAAAGACTGAAAATGTTTTTAAATGTAAGTAATCATTTCATTTTTTTCCTGTTTTGTTTGCTTTTTTCCTACTTATTTGATTTTGATATATCAAAAAATTTTAAATTATTTTTTTTTTTCTTAAAATTTTCACTAATAATTTAATTTTATAATTTCTATCAGAAATGTTATCTTTACCTATAAAAAAGAGGGTGAAAGGGAGGAGAGACGCCATTTATACTCGGTATGAATGGAAAATCGTTGATAATAATTTTTTGTACTTGATTGAATTTTTCAAACTATTTTTCTTTTTTCTTTGTTTCGATAATCGCGGTATAATACGGATTGAAAGATCGTAATGGATCTGCTATACAATAATATTGAAGAATTGAAAAAAAAAAATAGGTTTTCTTGAAAATGCTATTAAAATTTCGATATTATTGAATAAATTTGTAATTTTTTTATGACTTGAATGAAACTGAAGATAGAAGAGAGCAAAACTATTAAATAGAAAAATATTCTTAACATAAAATAAATATATAAGAAGAATTTCTTGATTGTTGATAAAAACTTTCTTTGCTTGGACGTTATTTTCTTAAAATTTTTCGAATAAACTATGATGAGGAGAAGCAATTATGGCAATTAATTCTAACATACATATGGCATGCTTACAATCGACCAAAATTGACAAACATATAATCTTTATCAAAATCTTCATTATATTTTAATTAAAACGTCTGTCTCTTCTCGGTTCATTTCAAAAACAAAAAAAACCAAATCAGACTTCTTTCCTAAATTCACTTATTTCGAGGTCAATATTTTCTCCATTTAAAGGAATTTTAATTAAAATTACAAAAAAGTTGCTAATTTAGTAGTATACAAAATAATTTATGTGAATATAAAAAATATTTATTTAAATTAAATAATAAATAAAATTTTAAACTCACAAATTTTTGGTATGTTTTTCCTTACCTGTAAACAAACAAAAAAAAAATATTAAAAATCATTAATTTCGGCAATATTATCAAATAAAAATTAATGTTATTTAGATTTTTAACAAGATTTTCTTATGCTCTTAAATTTCAAGATGAACCCCGGAAAAATTTCAACTTTGTTCCCATTTTTAACAAACTTTGTTCCCATTTTACTATTTAGAAAAAAATTACTTTTAAATACGAAGACTCCTGGTCCCAATGCGTTTCCTATTAAGATGATCCATTCGAATGCTTCAATTTTAAAACATTTTTTTTTCCATATCTCGGTACATTACCAATAACACTTTGATAATTAGTTTTTAAGAGTTGGTATTCGATTCGGAAAGTAGGTCAGTATTTTTTTTTTTTTGAAAAACTTCTTTTTAGCAGAACAAATCCCATTGAATACAATCCATAATAAAAGCGAGATGGAATTTTGGCATAACTAGCACCCAACAACTAGAGGTAAGAAATTATTTAAAAAAAAAACTCTTCAACAAGTGAATAACAAAAATGTCTTTAGCTTTTATCACAATTTCGAATAAAATGAATAAATTTGAAGAATACAAAAAATTTTACTACAAATTGAATTGAAAATAAAATACGACACCAGTCTTGTCATTTGGAAAAGTTTTATGTCATTTATGAAAAATGTCAATCTACGTTTTGAATAACATGGAACTATTTCCTGTACCAGTGTCTTATTAGCTTTCTTAGAATATTATGATCTATTAGTGAGAATTTCGAATAACAAATGTGGTAACATTGAACCAAGGAAAATTCAAATATAAAAAAAAAAATTAATTTACTCGAAATTCTATCTTAATTTGGCAATAAAAAAAAATTTGCTAATTAAATCTCTTGCCTTTCTTACACAGTTTGAAAGTGCATTTTTTTTTTGTTAAAATCTCTATAATATTAGTTATTGCACTAATTTTATTCTATACCAAATAAAACAAAATTAATCTTCTGATCCTTCTTTGTGTAACAAAATTTTTTAGTATAACGAGTGTGAAAAACACAAGAACCATTGCAACTTTATCTTATGGTTTAAAAAATCCTTTAACAATTTTTCAAATAAAAAGAAATAATTTTAAAATCTCTATGTAAAAAAACGAAAAAAAAAACCACAACCTTCATCATCATCACCATTTTATTATTAAAAACCATCATATGAATATCGAATATCTTCTCTCTCTCTATATTAAAGTTTGACAAAAAGAAGAGGACCAAAAAAAAAAAAATAAGTATTCAAATATCACTGATGATGCATTTTGCGTCCTTTTGTAATATTTTTGTTTTTTATTCTCAAAAAAAAATTTCAATTTCTTTCTCTATTATTTTGTTTAGAATTCGGGTTTTTTTTTATTATTTTTTTTTTTTTTGCTGAACACAGGACACTCGTAAGCATGCATATGATTGTATGTATGTTCGTGTATTTAGTTTAAATTCATTCATAGGGTAATCACACTTAAATCAAGTCCCATATTCAATTTAATACCATGTATACCACAAGTATTGAATTTGCTATATTTTTTTTTTTTGTATATTTGTAATCTGATAAAGCTGGTACTGATTTAAGTGCACATATTGTTATTTTTGGTTCAAGAGAGAGGGTGTATTGAAACAAAAGAATTATACTACAGGAAAAAAAATTCTGTATAACAAATTCAGTGGAGAGGAGAGTATATGTAAAAGATTTAAATGAAAAAATAAAAAATTTGAATTTATCAGAAATTTAACAGACCTTTTAATATTGTTTCCAATGATTTTAAATATATTTAAGTTTTGTTAATAAAATATAAGGTTACTATACTTTTTCATATACAAATGAATTCCATTTCATTACTAAAAATATTGTAAAAATGAAAAATGTCAAGCTTTTAGCAATTTTAATATGACAAATTGAAAGAGAGCCCACTAAAATCACTTTGTAGACCGGGCGCACCCGAACTAAATATGTCCAACTGATATATTGTCAAGAGCTCCAATAATTTTTTAAGATTATATTTTAGCAAGATCATATCTTCTTTATTAACTCGCATACTAAACCTTTTGTATGCAGCCCCGTTAGAAACTCGTTCGATTCTATAACTTTATGACAACTTAATAAAAACCCCTCAGAAAAAAATTATGATCCTTAAAATGCATTACTCGAAAAATATTAAAAAAAAAATATGTTTGCTGACCCAATGTATAGAATAAGGAAGGTTATGTGATGCACAAAATTTCGAACGTCGAATTTTCAATGAAAGTACCCCGGTTTATGCTGGTCAATTTAAAAACAACCACTTTTGGAAAGATAGTATGTGTACTTGTGTACTTCTATTTCTCAATTTGGACTGTATAAAATTTTTAATAAAATTTTGAATTTACTTAAATGTGGTGGAAATTTAACTTTTGGGGCATATGAGGCCAAACAATTGGTTTTTCACTATAGGCCGATTTCACATTATTGATTGCTTTTAACAAAATTATTAAAGGAATTTTTTGTAAATCTTAAATTGCATACATTTAGGATGAGGCAAAAAAAAAAAATTGAAAGAGGTGTTAACCTAATGCTTGAATTCAAGGGTTAATTGCTCGAGTTAAGAAAAATAATTATATTGTTTAATACCATGGCATTTACCGTTGTCTGCCTTCATAAAAATTTGGAAAAGCGTACAGTTTCGGAAATACAATAATATTAATTATGACGATATCTCAAAATTATTATTTATAACTATTTTGAACTGTTTTGACGTCATTCCATATCAATCTTCTATTTTTAATTTCAATTTATAAAATTCATTTTTTTTTATACGCCTTAAAATTAGAAAAAATAAATAGATTAAAATTAGAAGAAAATTAGAGGGCGTAAATGTGATTCTAACGTAATTTTATTGTATGAGGGGCGTAATAATTGATAATATTAAATTTTCAAATATCTTATTAAATTTTAAATAACATAATTTTATCTTAAATTCCAATTAAAATATTAAAAAGCATCTTGAATTTAATAAAATTTTTGAGTAAAATCTCAAATAAAAAAGTTCAAAATGAATTGTAAATGAAACATTTTACGCAATTCTAAAAATTTTTTATAATTTGCCACTATAAGATTTGGTATTCGATCAAAAAATACCATTTGTTAATATTATTGATGCTTTATAATTATATTTATTAATTTTAAAAAAATTCCGTAAAGGAAATGTCCAAATTCCATATAAACTACAAAAATAAAATGAAAACATAATCTTAGGCGGTAGAACCAGTTTTAAAATAATCATATCAGCTAAAATATAGCAGCACTGCTAATAATATTCATGTATAAAATAATTTTTTTTGTAGGAAGAATATTTTCCAAAATTATTTATTTCGCCCTTTCGAGAAATGGTAACTGAATATATGCAAAAATTCAGCCACTCAAATTTAGAAATTAAAATACAATCTTAACTTGTATTCTAATTTTAAAAACGAGTAACTTAATTTAATATTTTTATTCTAGTACAGTGTACTTTTAAATTTACATCTTTGTAGTACTCATGTATATATAAATTTTTAGAATCTAAGCTCTTATGTTTATATTAAGAAAAAAAAAGTATTACTAAAAAACAGAAAAAACTTACCATCAAAGCATTACTAGAAGCACCATATACGTACAAACGTATATGCATAGAAAAGTCTACAACGAAATTAAAGTGCTTCATTGTATACAATATAAATAACAAAATTTCATCACGATTGAAATAATCAAAAATTCTTTTGTTTGAGTTCCTTGCTCTCTCTCTCTCTCTCTCTCTCTCTTTCTTATTCTTTCTTTCTCTCTCTCGTAAAATATTTTATATTTTGTAATTTTTCCTTTTATATGGTAATAAACAAATTTTTCTTTTTATTTCAATATTAGAATCGGTTCGGTTTTGTATATTGCATAGCAGTTTGGGCTGGAGGGGTTTTTGTGATCAGCTATTATTTTATTCACTCCCAAAATTTTATTATAACTTTCATTTATATTAAGTTCCTTTTATTTATAATTATATTGGTTTTAACCATACACGTATTTATTAATATTTATGTAAGTACAATACTTGTACAATGAATGTAGCCATCACAGTCGATTTAAACAGGATATTTTGTTATTTCCTTTTTTGTTTACTTAGTTAACAACAACAAAAAAAATGTTCGTGATCAAATTTGGTTTTGTTCTTATTTATTTGAAATTTTGTTTTTTTATTTTTTTTATTTTATTATTCATTTGAAATTGCCTTTAAAATTTTTTCTGGTTTTTATAATGTAAAAAGAAATGGAATTGGAATAGAAGAGATAATGAAATATGAGTACACTATATAAAATAAATAGTGTAGGTATAATATGTATAGGTAAGAAAATGAGCCTTTGTATATATGCAATATTTAAACCATATATAGAAAGCATAGTTATTTGTGACGATTCAAAAATCGTGATGATTTCAAATTGAAAATCTTTCTTTTATTATTATTTATTATTACCATCATTTGTGGTGCACATTCTTGTACACTTATCGTATGTATATATACGTACTTATATATCTGTACTATATACTAAAGTGGTTCTTTCTTTACAACACCATTTATAATATTATACAGAGACTTCATTATATTTTCAAGTAAAAATTACATATTTTTCTTTTGTGTATGTTTGTGTCGTATATATGTAAAATTTTGTATAATATAAAATGACTTGGCATAAATATGTGAGGATGTGAGAAAGTCAGGTGAGATTTTCAATTTATTTGTTGTTTTATATTCAGAATTTTATTATCATATAATCACAATAACAATCATCATTATTGTCATCAGAATAAAATTTTATATTTTTTTATAATGGATGGTCATGAAATAGGAAACAATGATGGAAAAATTTTGGTGTTAACAATATTATTTTTGTTTTAATAATATTTGCAGTTGTTACAATTACTGTTGCCATATTATTACAATATATTCCTACAACACTGTTATACTGTTTTCAAAATATTATATTTTTCGATTGTTTTTTTTTTTTTTGTTATTTTGAGTTTCCTTTGTTGTTGTTTTCTTACTGTGGTTTTAGTTGTACTTAATAATTTGATGATTGTTTGTTGGTTTAGTTTAATTTTTTTTTTATTATTATTTTTATTATTTTTATTATTATTGTAGTTTATATGAGTGTGTTTTCTATTAAAATATTATATATAGAAAATTTTATATTTTCATGTTTTCCGTTATTATTTTGTAAACAAAAAAAAAATTGTTTCAATGTATGTACAGTTATAGATTATCGTAAGTATAACAGTTAGGTAACTAAAATGTTTAGTTATATTCTCTTACTTTAATTTTAGTTTATTTTTTTTTTTTTGTTTTTTCCAAATATTTTTGGTTAAATAAAATAATCATTTTCCATTTTTATAACTATAATTTTTTTTTTTTGTATTACACTTATACATGCATAGGTATACAAAGTCGAGATAAATGGTTTTATATAAAGTTTATTTAGTTATGAAAATTACAAGTTTATAAAGTTTAATTTTTTATTTTTTTTTTATTATAAATTCTCTTCAATTTAAGTTTTTTTTTACATTTTGTATAATAAAAAACAAAATTAAAATATATAAGTTTTTGCTATTATTATATTTACTGGAAATACAAAATGATAATTTGGTAAATTTTAATAAATTTTGTTTTTATTACAATTAATTTATAGTTATATGTGTATAATATTTGTTTGTATGTATTTGCTACTTTCATTTATTTGAAACAGCTAAATCTTATATACAATATTAGTAAAGGTTAAAATCGGGAACAAATTATTCAAGTTTTTACAAGAAATTGTATAATATTGTCCTAGTAATTAAAATTTTTTTGAGGCATATTGTCCTCATAACAAGGGCTAATGATATAAGATGTCTATGTTTCTCTGTCTAAGTCTAAGGCTGTATATGCTTCTCTTGTATATTAAATAACTAAATCACTGCATACATTTCCAAAAAATAATGTTATATTAATAATACAAAAATATTTGGAAATTTCAACATTTTTTTGTTTATTCACTAACAAATAGTTTGGCTTTTCACTTGTGTGTTCTTAAAAAATTTCAACATAAAATACATAATATATAAAATTTTCAGAAATTTCTGAAATCAACTAAGAAGTGATAAAATTTTTGAGTGCGAATTATTGTACGGAAATTTTTAGTGTGTCAGTTTCTATATATACCAGACGAAACAGTGGGAACAGTTTAAAAATATTAATTTTTAATAAAATTTGTAAAATTAAATTTTTTAAACTCTATGACTATGGAAAACTTTTTCAAATTAGTAATATTCCATAATATTTAAGCTACATTCCGCTAGATGACTTTTTTTTAAAAATTTTACTGGAGTTTTTTGCATCTAGAAATAAACAATGAAAATTCTTTCTTACAATTTATAGAACAGTTAGATAACGCAGCCAAAACGAATAAGTCGAGAAAAATTTAAAAAAAAAAATTCTTTTCTCGAACTGAACTCGAACCAGTGACCTATTACTTTCCAGATAGACGCTCTAACATAAATGAGCTGTATACAGAGATTTTGCATTTTTCTTAAATTTCAAAATACTTTTTACATTTTTATAATAACTATAATTTTATTTAGCGTATATTCGGAACAAATATAGTTGGTAGCTATTAACAAACTAGTATTATAATAAAACACAATGAATACATAATATTCAGAGTGATATAATTGAGAAAAAAAATTTATATAATGTGCATACTCATGTGTAAAGAAAAGTAACATAATTTCATTGTTACAAGTTTTTAAGTGTTATAACAAGTTAATATATTAATATATATACGATTAAAAGGTGTACAATAATATTGTATATGAAAATATAATATAGTATATGAGTTTGTGGAAATATATCTACATGTGAATATAATTATATCATTATTTAAATCATTATTTAACTTTTATTCACAATAAATAAGTGAAAATATTTATTGTTCAGGGGGAAGTTTTCACCTTTTTTTTTTTCGTTTCTTTTGTATATTAAGGTAAAATGGAAATAAAATGAAAATATGTGAAAGAATTCGTGAAAAAGAACCCAGGTAAATATTTTATAAAATATTCTGTTACTGATTATATTCTTCTATTTTAATTATTTTTTTGTACATAATTATTTATAAGTACATATGTATTATAATGAAAAGGTTCAAGGATAATGACAATCATAATAATATTTATATAAAAATAATATAATAAAATTTTAAATAATTATTTTAATATTAAATGCTAAATTTTTACTAAGTATTTTTCATAATATGTTTAAGTGTGACTTATAATTTGGGTTTTTTCTTATTTTTTATTATTCTAGAAATTACATATAAAAATTTAAATACATACATAAATATAATGTGAAAATAATAGAATAATTAAAATTATTGTTGCTTAATAATATAGACGTGGGTGTTAATTAAATATTCAAGAATATAAAAAAAAAAAATTATTTTATTAAAATAAAAGATTAAATGAATCAGATTAATTATTTTAAAGTAATTATAAATTTTAAGGATCAATGGTTTTTTTGTTCTTTCTTTTAAATTTCACTTTATATGGATGCCACACAATATATATGAATGCGTGGGCGAAAAAAGATTCTAAATATTTTTTTTGGTTCCTCTTTTTAATTACCTTAAATACCTGAATATGAATTATAAATTTATTTAACAAAATTTTATTATATACAAATTAAAATTTATTTAAATAAATATTAAAATTATATAATAAAATTGTATAAATTTTCATGAATATTTTAAATTTTGTTGAATTTTTAATAATACAAATTTTTAATAAAAAAATTTTGTTAAAAAATTATGTATCAAAAATTAATAAATAACAATAATAATTAAAATTATTTTTAATATTGGAAATTCTAGATTTCGAATTTTTTTGACGAAGAATTAATTATGGAAACGCTATTTATAAAAAAAAGATCTAAAATATTTTACTATCGGCTTACCAAAAAAAAATATTTAAAGCGCTGCCATTTTAACAGGGCAGTGGCTAAAGTATGGTATAAATTATTTTCATTTTTTGTTTAAAATTTCGATAAGTCAATAAATGGAATTTAGAAACCGTTATGGACATTGGTATATTTATACTGGTACGAATGTATGTTCAAAAAGTATAATAAATTTGTCTTATCGTTTGCAACGGTAAGAAATAATAATCTGAGATATAATCAGAGTCTCAGAGCTGAGACTTAAGTATATGTTTTTGATCGGCGTCGAATTCTAAGCGTCGAATTTAGCTGTCCGTCCGTCCCACGTCCCAATTTATTAGGGCGAAATACGTAATAATTCGATATAAAATTTTGTATTTTAAACTCTTTATTACAAAAAAAAAAGATGCTAATGGATAATAAAGATGCAAACGAATAACTAATGGAAATTTCTTCATACACAACTGCAAAACAGATGAATGACGTAATCAAGGGAACAAATTAAAGGCAAAAAAAAATTTATATTAAAAAAATTTTTCTCCACAAACTGAACTCGAACCAGTGACCTACTCCTTTTTAAGCGGACGCTCTACCAACTAAGCTACAGAGATATGAAGAGATTCTACAAATGTTTTAGAGTTCTTTAAGAATTAAAAGTACTAATTACTAAAATATTAAACTAAATTAAAAAAAAAAATTCGACTTTATTTTTTAAAGAAAAATATATTTTTTATTTAAAAATATAATTTAAGAGTGTCTAAATTTCATGTAATGCTAAAAATAATTATTGATTAAGAAATAATTTTGATGAAAGTGAAAAAAAAATTTTTAAAACAGTATGTTGGCACTAAGGTTTTAAAAATTATTTTCCAATAAGATTAAATAGAATGTAAAAATCCAAATTAATTCGATATATTTGAGCAAATTTAAATTTATTCTAAGAAAATAATCGTAATTATTATGAACAGAAACTATATTGAGTTTGAGTTACTATAGTAATTCTGAAATATCAACATTAATTTTGAATACTGAAACCAAATGTAAAACTGTACCCAAAAAAAGAAAATTATGTACTTTTCATTACCAAACCTTAAATATAAACTTTTTAATATTATATACAAGTTGTATGAGTTTATATTTTTTACATTATATTATAATTTTGTTAAAAAATATAAAAGGAAGAGAAAAATTTTCAAGAAAAACTTAAAACTTCTTTATTGCCTGCCGTCTCCAGTAAAATACAAAATAAGAATTTTTTTTTTTTAAATTATGTGCAATAAAGTAATATTTGAGGCGTCCTATATATTATGTGTGCTATAATAATAAATATAAATGGAAAGAAAGACAAAAATTTAATAAAAAAAAAAAAAAAAACTTTATTGCACTTTGATTACATAGTTACTTATTATATTGCAGATAATAGTTAGTTATATAACAGTAAAAATAATAGTTTTTTGTATTTAAATAATGTGTAATAAATTTTGGAAATTTTTTATTATTTTAATGTTAAATTTTTATATAAATGTATATATAGCATTGTAATATCTAATAGAAATATATAGTATTATTGTTGTATTAAGGACATAAAATGCAAAATTGAATTTCAACGCAGATAATTATGTAAAATTACTGTTACTGTAAAAATAAAAAAACTTTGACTGTTAAAATTGAAAACTTTACTTTACAAGTTATTTAAAATTGTGGTAGATTTTGATTTTAAATAGAAAATTTGTGGTTCTCATACAAAATCGGAAAAATAATTAAAATATTAAAATGTAATTTGATTATATTAGGATAAAATTGAATGACTCGGAATTTCGATTTTGAAAAATACAAAAATTATAATGTTGAATGTCTTAGAAATTTACTGTTAACATGTTTCCTGTCCTCTGAGGAAACGTACGCTTGATAAGCACTGATACTACCCTGAGCTATATTTACGTCAGGTGGCATATGAAACTTCTAAAGCAAATTATTCGACTGGACGTAACAGAACTGTACAGTTTCTGCACGATAATAAAGAAAAGAAAAACGCCTGAACATACGAAAAAATATTTTTTAAATTTTGCATTTTTGTATTGGGACAGGGAACGTGTTAACCTCATTTGCAAAATTTTTAATATTTTAGTTATATAATTAACAAATAGTTATTCTTAAAATAAGGTTTTGAATAAAATTAATAATTATTAAGAAAAAAATTATTTTAAAAATTAATATAATAACTTTTAATAATATTATAGTAAATTAGTAAGAAAAAAAATTATTTCCCAATCAATATTTTTTATTTTATAAAAATAATTCTCTCTTTAATTAAGGGTGACCTACAAGATTTTCGTAAAATTATTTGTAAAAATTAATTCTTCGCGAAAATTGGTATTAAAATTAATTTTATTTAAATAAAATTTAATAAAATTTCAATTAAGCATCTATTACGTCCTGTAACAGTACGCCCTATACGATGGTCCTATACGAAATTAAAAGATTTTTGAAGTTATTTCTGAAGTTATTGGAAAAACTACAAATAAAATTAAATTAATTAATATTTCTATTAATTTATATAATTTTTTGATTGGTCTTATTAGCAAAATATTAATAAAAATTTTCTTTTTAATTTATATTTTGACCACATTCGAATTGTCCGAAACTTAATAAAATTTTACTGGCAAATCTGTGTTTTTACTAGCAAGTCTGTTTTTTTACTAGTAAGTCAAATTTAAAAAAACCTAATTACACTAAGTCCTTGAGATACGACGCCTTCTAATACGACATTTGAAGTTACGACATAATATAAATTTGGACCATTTTTATTCGGCTTGCGACATTATTCCTGATACGACATTAAAACTTTAAAAAAAAATTTTTTTTTTGTGTTTTTGGCACATTTTACTGTTTTTTGAATAAAAATCTATACAACTCTTGTCTTGTTCAATAATGAACTCTTTCTAGTTAAAAATTCCATAAAATAGGTAAAAATACAATTGGAATTTACATATTTTAAGTAAAAATTAAAAATATTATTGGAAAAACGGGTCAATTATATTTTGTCAAGATAGTTTGTCTAATTAACTTTTTGTTTCCATACATTTTTTTTTTCGTCCTCAAATGACAATTCGAATTATGACATAAATTTCTGGAACCAAAAATGTCGTATCTCGAGGACTTAATGTATATTGTAAAATTTGTCATACTCTTATATTATTATGAATATTATTATGAATAATTTTATAATCGCTGCATTTATAAAAATTAAAATTATACCCATAAATGTTATAATATGTGCTTTTACACATTATATGAATGTATATAAATAAAATTCAAATTACAGTTAGTATACATACATTTTTATAATATATGTATATATATATATAATTATCATAAAATATGTTAATAAATATGTATATATATATACAGTGTCGCATGGATTTATACAGTGTACGCACAAACAATATTACTAATTTTTTTTTTTTTTATATTCGTGCATAAAATTTTCTACATATTTATTAAATGGATAAAGATATTCCAATATTATATGTATATATAAATAATTTAAATATATATATATATATATATATATATATATATATATATATATATATATATATATATGAATGGATATATACGTGTATTACTATATAATATATATATGTAAGAATATCATAATCTGTTCTATTTAATTGCTGTTCTTCTTCTCTCATTATGGTCTTTTTGCTTTACTGAATTTTTTTTCGTTGTTTTGTTGTTTTTATACCAAACTTATCTTTTTTTTTTTAATTTTAAGATTTTTCTATATTTTTGTAAATTTTCTTTTTTCTTTGTTTTATAAAATTATTTAATACAAAAAAAAAAAAATAAAAAAAACAAAAAGAATAAAAACAAAAGCCGCTGACTAAGTAGTATTTATTTTAATAAGTGAATATATATATATATGTATATATACCAACATAATGTTATATATATCATACAAAGGTATATATTAGATATACCAAATACAACAATGTACATATATATTTGTTAATAAAGAAAAGTAAAAAAAAAACAAAAATTTAAAATAGTTTCATATAAATTGTATATGTATGTATTTAAAAATTTTTTTTTCTAAAGGACATTCATGCATATACACATATATATATAAATATATTATATATTACATACAAACATATATACACATATAATTATAATAATATATTAAAATAAATTTTGTTTCTTTTTCTGCTATACATACAGTATTATAATATCCTTTTAAAGGTCCTAAATTAGGATTTTCTTCATATCACATTTTTGTACACTCAGACAAAAAATTGATATAACAAAAAGAATTTATTTCATATGTATGTGTGTACAATTGTCGCATATTTAAAAAAAAAATAAATATTTTTTTTTTATTTTATTTTTTAATTTTTATAAAAAATATTTTATTCTTATATGTCCTCTATTCTCTTATACTGTTTAAGTTTTCCTTTGTGATTATAATTCCAATTTTTACAACTTTTTCTAGTTTGGTTTTTTTTTTTTTTGTTAAGAAAATGTTTATTCTTTGAAATATTTGAATTTAAAATTTATTTTATAATATTTTAATTTTAAATAAATTGTTTTTATAATTTAATTCAGAAATTTATTTTTTGTTTAAAATTCACTTAAATATTTTAACTAGGGTTTATTTTTTTTCTTAAAATTTTTTTAATAAAAATTTAAAATTTTGTTTTACAATTAAAATTTTGATTGTAATTTAATTTTTTGGATTATAAGAAATTTGCGGAAAATTTAAATTATAATTTAATTACGAATAATTTTAAATATTTTTATTATTTGTTTTTTTTTTTTTTTTGCTTACTAATTGTTCACTATTTTAAATATTTATTACAATTTTTCTATTTTTAATTATTTTTATTATTTTATGTGATTTAATTTTAATTTTGTTTTATTAAAGTTCTTGAATAAAGAGTTAAAAATTTAAGGTGTAATTAACATTCTTTTTTATTTAATAATTAATTTGGTAATTACTTTTTTTTCTACTTTTTTTTTTTCTATTTTAAGAGACGGGAGAGGATGCGATCACACCAAGCACTTACCAATAACTGAATGAAAACTCAGCTGTGCTATTCTATTTGAATGAATTTAATGCCCGAAGCTATTTACGAACTATAATATTGAATACCGTTATTAAAGTTCGTTATCTTGTATTCCTTTTTCCTTTTGTGCAGAAATTTTTTTTATCATATATTTTTCTCTTATGATTTTGATTTTTTTCTTTTCATTTCATTTCTCCTCCTTGGTTTTTATTTAATTATTTTGTTTTTTTCATATTTTTATACTCTTATACAGTTATACTTAATATTAAACTTTTATTCTTTCTATCCAGCCAGATAAGTTTATAATTTTTGTGAACGAAAGAGCAGAAAAAAAAACACATAAAATTATTAACGAATTTCAGTATACATTTTGCTGCAATATTTTCTGCAGAAAAATAATGAAATAACAACAACAAAAAATTTTGATAATTTTTTTTTTCTTTGTTTTGAAACTCACTGAGTCATTGCTGAATATAATCAAAAAAAATAAACCAGAATAGGGTAAAAAAATGAATACAAAAAAGGAAAGAAACCGAAAAATATGAGAGAAATGAATAGAGAAATATTGTATCTGTAACTGTGTATGTATATTAAGCATTAAAATAGAGAGAACCAGTATAACAGTTTTGAAAATTTTTAGTGAATTTTTTCCCCATTTCATGTTGTTGGTTTTGTTTTTTGTTTTTTTTTCCTTTCTCTGAAAAACGGAAACTTTACGAAATGCATTTTGCAGAAACAGTTTAATATATTTTTATTTTATGATTAAGTATATAGAAGGGCCGGTAAAAAAGAAAAAGAACAAGAATACGGTGTTCTAATTTTATTTTAATTTTTATTTTGTATAACAGAATTAATTTTGATTTTGTTATAAAGAGAATGTTAATTATAAGAATTTTCATTTATTTTTAAATTAAATCGATTTATAATAATAAAGTGTGTAATATAAAATATTAAAAATTTGTCATATTTCTTTAATTATTCAATATTATTTTGTAGGATTGTGTTCGTATAAGTATTATATTAGTTTTAATAATTTTGTTATAATTATATTATATAGAATTTTAAATAGCTGTATGTTTAATTAATTTGTAAAATATTATTTTTTTTTAATTATAATAAATATTTTAGATTCTATTTGACGGAATGTTGATTCTGTAGGTCTCTTCGTCAGTCAGCCGATTTCTCTTGTACCTATATATCTTGATTTTTGTCTGAATTTTTTGAATCTCGATTTGGACTGAGGCAATTATTGCTATTTGAATTCTCTTTTGAAATTAAATTCCGTCTCTGTCTGATAATATAGGCAGTTAACAAGCAAAAACTGATACCCAGTACAAAATTTATATTTTTGCTAATATTTATGAACATCACTTATGGATTTTCTTAGAATTTTTTATACTGATTGTGTTTGTTTAATCATATTTTTCGGAGAAATTAAAGGTCGAAATCTAAACATTTCTAGTGATTATTAAGAAAAATACTTAGTGTGGATTTCTTCTGTACTTTACCAATATTGTGGTTATATACTATTTTGCTTTAAATTAATTGATAATTATATATAACTAAGTGATTATATAAACACGATTAATCATTTTTCCCATACTATATCAAATACATATTTTTATAAAACTTTTTATACATATGTATAGTACAAACAAGTAGAATTTTTAAGTGTCGTTTTCTTTTAACTATATGTACAATAAATCCTTGCTCACGTTACATTAATCTAGAACCTAGTTATATATTATATTATATTTTATGTATGTATGTTAAAACCTGTATAAAAAAAATTATAGTTATAATAACTTTTATATTTTAATAATATACTCTCACATATTTTTTCTCCTAAAAAAAAAAAATTCCTTTAAAAAATTTTCATCTCTTAAAATCTGCATTATTTGCAGATTCAATATACTAACAATATAATAATTTCTGTAATTTATGACAGAAATACGATAGATGACACAATTTTTCATTAGAATTTTTTTATTCTTTTAGTTTAACGTATATATTTTAGTTACTAAATGATAGACATATTAATGTTATACATACATAATGAGTAAATACATAAACGCGAGTATGATTTGCAGAATTCTCTTTAAAATACTATGTTAAATTAAGGAATTTATATAGTAACCATATAACAACTCATTATATAGCATAGTAATATTAAAAAGAAAATTTATATAGAAAAAAAAAAGTAGAATGTAGTGATGATAACAAGTCGGCTAACGATTCCAAAATTTTATTTTCATTCATTTTTTTTATATATGAGTTATGTAAGCTACCTAAAATAAAGTTTGAGTTACAACTCAGCTTATGTCACTCGTACTAACTGGCATTTTTTAAAATGCATACTTTACAAAATAAGATTGTTTTATATAACTATAAAATTAGCATATAACACCTATACAGTCCTGATTTTCAAACTAGTTAAACTTATTAAAACTGCACAAAATTACTTAAGGCTTAAAAACCAGGCTTGTTTTAATCTCCTTTCTCTCTTATTTAAAATAATGAAATTTTTACACAAAATTCAGAAAAAATTCATTTTATCGAACTAAACACTGATAAAACCCTAACAAACAATTGCAAATCCCTTAACTTAACCATTTCTTTTTTTTTTTTGTTATTTTATGTACAATGTTGCGCTTTCCTCTTTAATAATTTAAAAATAAATGAAAAAAATTAAACGCACAAAAATTTTATTGTGCTTAAAGTTTTCCAAAATAATATAAAATCCTTATAATCGTCCTTGGTCGAAATTTGCACAAAACAAAAATAAAACAGAAAAGAAGAACGAAAATTCAAATAAAAAAATTGAACGAAATAAGCACTTATCTGTTCTTCTCTTGACGACCAACTAACTATATGTTACTACCGAGCAGTGAGCATAAAATTTGGCAAACTGTAAAATTTTAAACTAAAAATTAAGGAGAGGAGATAAAACAAGAAGAAGAGAAAGACAAAAAATCAAAGATAACTACGAAATATGGAAAGAAAAATGAAATCCTTTTTTTTTTTTTAAATGATTTTTGTTGATTTTATTCTTTAATTTGTTGGTTGACTTCTCAAAACTCAGCAGAATTCCAGATTCGAACCGTAGCCAAAAGTAGTAAAAATATTACCAAGAAAATTCAAAAAATCAAAAAAAAAAACAAAAAAAAAAAGGATATTAAGAATAATTTTCGTGCCAAAAGACAAAAAAAAATAAAAATCGAAAAAAATTTAATTTTTTTTTTTTAGGATTTCGCGAAATTACTTTAATTCAATGAAATTTTTAAATTCTCACGCTTATTTCTACTCAAATTCGTAAATTTTTCAATATTAGAAAATCGTTTTCATTTAGTTCATAATGTATTCTCAGTGCACCTACTGGGGGGAATGTAATGCTCTTGCTCATAGAGTTACGGTCCTCCGATCCTCACAAGTTCCTTGAGTTCATCAGGAAAGTGGGTTTCGAGCGTGTCTTGCAGGGAATGAGATCCTTATCATAGAGAAGAGATCCTTATACGTGGTCGCACTGTTGCCCCCGTTGTACAAAACTACAAATCTTGTCCATAATGTAGCAAATTTTAATATCAAATATTGTTATACAATAATAGAACATTTGACCGGTTCCCTTAAATTTTATTGCTACAATTATACTGATAAATTAAGCAATAATTTCTAGTTGCTTTGCGAGTACTTTTTTTCGATTTTACCATAAACTCAGTAATGTGCGAAATTGAGTGAAGTACGAAATTCCGCTAGAATCGAGTAAATCAAGGATGTTACACTTTTGTAATAAATATAAAATGAATTATTTCATTAATTTAAATAACTTTTCATCGATTGTTTCTGATACACTGCCCAAATATACGACCTCTTTTGATTCTTTAAATTAATCGTGATCTCAAACTAGTTTTTCACAAATTTTCAAGAGTATTTTTTTTTACCCGAATTTTTCCTTTTAAATTTTTTAACTGCATATATATATAAAATCCTACAATATATAAGAATTTAAAAATGAATTAAATCGAGAATTTCGTAAATTCTTTAAACCCCTTAAAGGAAAATTGTCTACATAATATTAAAAGTGTTCAAATATACATGTTTGTATGTGTGTACAATCTATACAAAAAAATACAAAAACAGCAAAAAAAAAAGTTGGCTTTGGTTAAAAATTCCAGTAGTTTTGTTTGAATAAAAATAATTGGCACAGATTACAAGCATAGGAACAGGTTTTGATATTTATTTTTAACTAGAATAAAATATATATAAAAAAAAAATCTGATGTAATCAGCACATAACCGACCCCAACGTATATTCCGTAGTTTAGTCAAAGTGTTGCAGAAAATTATGAAAATGCGTTTTGAACACTTCCTTTCAATTTTAAATTAGCAAATTTTTAGTTAACATACCTAGAAAAATGTTAATTTGGCTCTTAATAGAATTTCACTTTGTACCACACGAATTCCGTCAAAAGTTCGCCAGTAGGTTTCGGTAACAATCAGAACTCAAATAGCAAATTTCAAGAAATTTCATCAATCCGTTCCGTAGATATGGTAAGAAATATAAAATCGGCCGCCAGTTCGGTTTCCGAACCCTGATCTTCCCAAAAAAATTATAGCTTTTAACACCTCGAATTTAAATATTAAATTTCAAGAAAATTAATTGAAATATACGCAAAAATGTAAAATCGGCCCAGAAAAAAAACCAGTTCTCGAAGTTGATCAATCTATCATATCCCAAAAGTTGATCAATCTATGCCATAGTCAAAATAAACTCACATATCAAATTTCATCAAAATCAGTTCAGCCGAACTTAAGATATACGCATGCGCATACAGATCGACAGACCGACAAGTAGCTAAAAAAAGTTTATTTATACTTCCCTAATATGGAAAAATTCGGGAACGTGCAAATTTCGGACAAATTCGAGGTCCGAAATTTGGTGCCATAACCTTCTTCATTATATGGAATGCGGTAGGTAAAAAGGAAAACACAAGAATTAATTTCATTTCACTAATCAATTTTTTTCTTAGATTTTTGGGACTAAACTTGCAAGTACTTAAAAAATTTTATTTCTTGATTGAGGCGAAAAAAGACAATCTAATTGCATTATTGTCTTTGAAATTAAACAAAAATTAATATTTGAGAATTCTTTTTGATAAAAATAAATTATATTTAATTTCATTCTTATATTAACTTTTTTGTGATTAAAATTTCAAATCAGAATTACCTTCGAAAAGGTTTTCTTCAATGTTAACTTCGACACTTACAATACGCTAATTAATTTGTAGATCAAGCAATTTGAAAAATCAAAACATTTCGGCTTAATTAAATGTATAGTTGTAGTTGATATCTCATACATTCCGATATTGATATCTTCTCAGGGAATAAACTAAATAAAAGAGACTATGAATGAAAAAGCTTCTTAAACTTAATATATTTTTACAATGTGATACTTTACTACTCGTACCATCAAAATTAAATTAACAGCAACACTCAATCTTTGTGTTAGCTACATATTTTTATTTTTATCAATTTATATTGCTCAAATTTTTTTCAAATTATTTTTTTTCTTTAGCAACTCAAAACAATAATGTTATTTAGTTAGAATAGAATAATATTGTGCTCTCTTGATAACTAATACTAAAATATATTTTACGAGAATGAGATACGTTCTCGACTGACATTACGTATTTGCCAATTGATTCTAAATAAAGCTTTTACGCTTGAACAAAATAAGTATGTAGCATATAGGTATGTACTTTGCTCGTGTTTTTTAGTTTTGAAAACCATCTATTATCATAAGCTAACACTTAATTAATTTTATGCCTCATAAATTCAGATCTAGTTGTATCCAGTATATGAGGTAACTCTTTCACCAAAAATTAAATTGTCATTATATAAGTCAACATTAAAATGAGAAAAGTTTTCACACATGTGGTTTTGAATAGCAATAGTACATAAAATATAGATTTAAAATTTAATAGTTTGATTAATACCTAAGAGTTGGCCGGGTCAACTCCTCTCACGCATTTTATTTTCTCTCTCTTTATTTGAATTGTTATCATTGAAGTTGTATTGTATTTTAGGTATTACGCTAAAATTTTCGTATGATTAAGTAGAGTTTATTTTGTTTTACTGACAAGTACATTGCATTTTTTACTTGTATACTTTAATTTTGTATTTATTTTGCTTTTATTTTTTTTTGTTTTATGAAAAATTTTAAAAAAATTTAGTGTAAAAATTATTAAAATTTAGTGTAATTATTAAAAAATGAATATTTCAGCAGAAGCTTTTCATGATCCTTACGACAAAAGTATACATTACAAATTATTAGCAAATTTAACAATTGGCAATAAAGATTTTAATGTAAATTTTGGTGGATTTCTTTGCGGTAGTTCAAAGAGAAAGAACTGGACTTCAAGTGGAGTTTTTGCTGGTATATATTGGTAAGTGATATATTGTGAGTTATAATATATTTTATAGAATAACTGATTTTTTGAGAAAACCAATGAAAAAGCTTTCATTTTTTTATACGATCGTGTTCATCATATCGTAAAATCTATATATGTGTGTATATTCAATTCGTCACGTATTGCATTTGCTCATGATTTAATTCTAAGTCGATTTAGTTCGTCTGTCTGTTCGTCTGTTCTATCTATTGACATCAAATTCTAATATTTTCATTATTTTTTTTTTGCTTTATTGGAAAAAATTTATTAAGAAAATACTTCAATAAAAACTGTTCTAATGTGGAAGCACATTATTAACAAGTTCGTACTTGACTCTAGTTTATATATTTTAATATTTAGTATAGGAAATAAAGGCACCTACCAGAATAAATATGCCAATAATTAGTTTTTCTCGATTACTACTACCATGTTGAGGCTGGTGTAGTTAGGAGTTTTACACGATTAGAGTTCAATGCGGGTTGAATTTGATATTATTATTAAAATTTACAGTTATAATAGTTTTTTCTTTTTTTTTTTTCAGTGGAAGATTAGGTTATTCAGTGACAAAATCATTTCACGACGAGCTGATTATTGATGCAGTGAGCGTAACACATTCATTTCATTGTGATGTTATCAAAAATAAATTTTCAAAATTGAATTTATCAATTTATGAAAGTTATAAAAGTTATTTTTCGGAAACTGTTTTTGAAGAAACTTCTGGTTTCTCTATAAATTTAGGTGATTGTTATGGCAATGAATTATCATTGAATACATATGGAACAAAATTTAAAAGCGATCAAAAAGATAAAGAAATTGAGCCAACAGTTGATTTCTCTGGAAAATTAAATTTAATGAAAGATGATCTGAATTGTATAACTTTTCTTTTCACTAGTACTTATCGTCAACAATTCATTGGTATTAAAAAATATTATACGAAATGCGGACTCGGTTTTTCCTGTAACGTTATTTCAATTGAATAAATATAACTTTTAAATTCTAACAATTTGGTAGTTGCTATTTTTCTTATTTATAAAATTATTTTTTTTTTAAATTAGTGTAAATGAACTTTAAACATATTGGTCTACAGTATTTGAGTTATAAAATTTTAAAAATTCAACAAATGTTCTCATCTACTACTACTTACACCAAAACGAATTTCTGAATTAAAAAAAAAATTTAATGAATGATCAATTTGGCATGCGCATAACACACTATTATAAATCTAAAGATTGTTTTTTTTACAATACTTTTATAAAATTCTTGATTTTAAAGCTGAATTTTAAATTAATCAAATAAATACACTATCAAAGTGTAGCTCTCTTTAGCAAAAGCTTTTTTTTTTTTGCAAAATAAATAAAACGAAAAACAAGAGAAATATTTTCTACACATACATTTTTGCATGAATTTGCTTTTGTTATTGAATTGTACGAGTGTACAAGAGAAAAGCTTTCAAAGATTATGAGAGAGTGAGAAACTAATTTAAAACTTTCAAATTTTTATAGAATTTAATAATTTTTAAAATTAGTTCGGCGTGCGCATTCATTAATTTCAGTTTGGTATAGATAAATAATTTTTTTCTTGTTTGGTTGCCTCCCGAAGAATCTCACATTTTATTAAAACCAGATATGAGTATAACAGCTGAAGGTTCAATTGATCCATATATTGGTGGAATTAATTATAAAATAATTGCAAGCTGGGCAGTTACAAAAGATAAAGGTAATTTAAAACTTGGTGCATTTATAAAAGGTAACTCAAAAGATTATGGATCATTTTCTACTGGAGTATTTGGTGGTCTATATTAGTAAGTATTACGATTAGGTATATAAAAAATAATGTCAAAAAAAAAAAGCTTATTCAGCTAACCGCTTTACTGTTGGCCTATGCTCTCAAAAAAATGAAATGTTCTTTTTATAAATTGTTTTTTTTTTATTCTAAATAAAATTTGAGTAGAATTAAGTTGGATCAAACCAGTGGTTTATATTGTAGCACTTTTCCCTTTAACAAGTAAAAATACTGCTTTTAAATACAGTCTATTTATATCCACCACACTATTAAAATTATTTTCATTCATAAACGAAACTATTTCTAGGATTGCATATATTTAGGATGAACGATTTATGCAGTCTTTGAAATAAAGCAAAAATTAATTTAAAGAGGACTAAACATAATGCTCGATGAGAAAAATAAAGAATATGTTCATATGTATGTATGTACATAAAATAAATTGCTTAATTTGCAAGAAAGGGGAATTCCCGTTTCATTCGAGTTTAGTTCTGATATTCACATCTTTCAACTCATTTTGAAGTTTTGGATATTTTGTGTGTGAAGTGGAGTAAACAAAAACTAAATTTAATAGGTTAAAAATTTTCCCGCCAATAAATATTATACACATACATATAAACACGCACTAACACAAATTAAATATTTTTTATTGCTTTACCGCTCAGCTCAGTTCATATATGTATGTAAATATTGACGACATGTCTATGGTCAACATTAAAATGAAAAACATTCCAGTGGATGCCTTGCTAATGTAAAATACAAAAAATCAGTACGTTGACCGTAGTTTATGCCAAATATATTTTAATAATTTTGGAATTATAACATAAAATTTATAAGAAATAAAATATGTAAATTTTAAATTGATTGACTAAAATCGAAAACCGTGAAATTCATAATAATTTTATAATGTCAATTTATCAATAATTTTTTAATTTAATTTTAAAAATTTTAGTGGTGGACATGGTATTTTATTGACAAGAGATTTTAATAATGATTTCATCTCAACAACTACTGGTTCAATTCAAATTAAATTATTGGATGATGGAGCAAATAAATTAAATGCAACAGTACATAAAACTGTTACAAGTCTTAATAAAACAAATTTACAAATGGAAGATTATAGTGCTTCTTTGGGTTTAAATGATCTACTTCATGGTCCAGGATTTGAAATAAAAGCAGTAAAAACACTTACCGGCGATTATAAATATCATTTTAGAGGAAAATTAACTTTATTTTCTGATAATGTTAATGATGTAAGTTTTCTTGGTGAAGTAGTTGATTTATTTGGTAAAAGTCGTCTGTTAGGTGGAATTAGTGCTTCACGTAAAGTTTTAGATATGTAATTGACATGAAATATTTGTGAACTATATTTTATAAATCATTTTAGTAAAAATTATTAGTTTGTTTTTTTAATTAAATAAATGTTTAAATGCTTGTTAATTTTATTTTGATATTTTTTTTTTGTAATATTTTACATAAAGTAAGGTGTTTTATTATACGGACAAGGTTCTCTTCAAATTCTTGTATTTAAGAGAGTTATTATCGAAGTTCATATAAATCATATTCAATTACGTATACGAATTAATAGGTACTTACTATATGCACATTTAGGTATGGGGAAACTAAAATGAAGATTATGAAAAAAAATTAAACTCGATAATGAAAAGATAAAGTTAGTGTACCCTAATAATGATATAAGGGCCATATGCATATATTTGTAATGCATGTAAAAAAATTTATTAAGATATGGGACGATAATATAAATATAAGATATATATATATTTCATATGCACATGTACATACATTCATATGTACATAAAAATCATATTTAAAAGTAGATGGTAGGTAATCGTAAGTTTACTGAGCAAGTGTATAAAAATTTTGTAATTTGATATATGTATTAATATTTTATATTTTCAATATGGATTCATATATAAGGATATTTTAATATTTTTGCTTTTACATTTATACAACGATTGAATTTATTAAATTTTAAGAAGCTATAGGGCATGTGAAGCACTACAAAAAAATATTGACGTATTCTGTTTTTCCTTTTACATACGACTTCGGAAGGTTTTAAAAAAAAAATCTCGTGATATTTTTTAGAAAATAAATTTTTTTGAAAAACCCGTCTGTTCAGAAGTTATACAGCAAAAAATCAGATTTTATGAGATCCTTTTGAAATTTGTTAATTTTCCGTCATACAGGTTATTTTTGAAAAAATTCAGACGAACTCTGAATAATTTTTATTCAGTGAAATTTTTGGAAATCAACCATTGGAGGCCTGTAGGTCCCAAAAAATATATTCCGAAAAAAAACATGTTAAATATTGTTCTACTCATAATAGGTTTCAAGATAATAATTTATAATAGGCGGTACTTTGTATTCCCAGGAGTAGCCATAAGGTTACTGGAAAACTTAAATATTAAAATTTTTTTTAGCATAATCATTAATATCAAAAGAAAGATCTTAATACTTCCGGAATGTTTTTGAAAGCTCTAGTCTAAATTGTTTTTAAACAATTAATTTTTAACAAAAAGATGTTCTATTTCCAAAAAAATCTCTGGTTATATTTTGTTATTGTACTTCAGGAGGTTGGCCACCCTGAACATACCTATATAGTAAATATATAGATGAATTCATTTATGTATATGTATTTCTTCACTTAGTTATCTTATTATCTATAATTTTATATATGTATTAAAAAAAAAATAAAACAACAACAAATTATGACACGAGTACATACTTACATAATATTGTACATACTAAATACATATATACGCTTATTATATACGATAAATATACGATATAGAATAATTTAAGACCATTGTTATAAACATGTTATAAGAGTTTCATATGTAATACATATATACTTATAAGATTTTAAGTAAAAACTGTAGGACTACTACAGTAGGATATGACCATATTGATATTTAAAAATATGTATAATAAATGCTTAGTCATCATAACAGGATAACGTACTATATTTTATTTAGTATTTTCTCTATTGAAAAAAAAAAAAAAAATTTTTCATTTTTCTTTTTTTTCAAAATTTTCTATTGTTTTAGAGTTTCTTGATGTTTCCATTTTCTATACAAGTATAAGAGTGTTATATATATATATATGTATATTTATTGAACTTATATATGTACGTGTACGTCCCGCTGTGTTGAACGATAATGTACTGTAGAGTAACTTTTAAATAACATTTTATTGTTAAGTAAAGTGCATATTATATAAATGATTTGATGATGAACTACGCATATATATATATATATACTATATATATGGTTATTAAAACGACATTTTGGATTATAGTTATAAATTATTAATTTTTGTAAAGTCGAAAATACAAAGAAAATTTAAATCTAATTTTAGTATGAAAATTAATAAGAAAATCTAAATTTTGTAAAGCAAAAAATTTTCAATTAAAGTTTTCAATATCAGAATAAAATACAATTTATAGACATGCTCAAAATAATTGAATAAAATTCTATTATTTCCTATTTATGCATTATGCATTTAGATTTTGGAAAGTAAAAGTCTGAAATTTAGCAATGAGAATTTAGAAGAATAATATACAATATACTTTCTATACAAGATTAAGATTTTAGCTATATTGGTAAATGAATTGTGTACAACTAATTACAAAATTTTAAAATTCATTTGAAAAATTTTTGAAATCATAAAAATTTTGTATTAAAAGTGGATTATCTTATAACGAGGCATAAATTTCCCTAAAAAAATTGTATGAAATTGTGAAAAAAGTTATTCTTCAAAGATTTTCATAAATACACAACTATGATTCAGATAATATATATAGGAAATAAAAGAAATATATAGGAAATATAGAATCTGATTAGTATAGAATGAGTTACAGAAAAAATGTTCAATGATCAAATGATTAAATTTTAAAGAAAATATTTATCATTCAACAATAATTGTAAAGATTCTCATGAAAAATAATTCTAAAGATTCATTTTCGAAAAAAATTTTTTTGAACCGTAACAAAATCGTTGTACCATCTAACCATAATATACGTCAAATTTTTCAATGTATTTCCTGGCTTACAATAGAAGCTAAAATAACGGGTTTTTAAGGAAATTTTCAGCATTTTAATCAACAATAATTTGGCGTATTTAATATCAAACAACATACCAGAATGTAAAAAATTTCGAAAATCTGTTGAAATGAGTCTGTTGCAGTTCTTAATGCTGCCATATTCTTTATTTTTTTGGAATTTTATAACAATTAATAAGTCACAAACTATTTCTGTTGTTATCCTGATGGAATTCTCCAATTATTATGAATAGCAGCTAACTATTTTGTATTAAATGTGCACTGTTTACTTTATAATAAGTTCATATACTTGTACATTTATATACGTTTACTTAATATCTCATAGAACAACTCCCACGTACCAATATATTAGGTAAAGGTAATCAAAAAACATAAATTAAAGCTAAATTACAGCTTTATTTTGGTTATTAAGAAAAACACCATATAATATTAGAAATTTGTTTCCAAGGATATTTTCTTTCAATTCAATTGATACATAAATGTTTGTATCCTTTTTCAATATATTAATTTTTTTTTTCCAATATTTTCCTTTTAAGTTTTTTTTTTTTTTTTGTGTTATTCGTGTTCACTTTTAATTTAATATTTGTTTTCCTTTCGATCTACTTATATACACACATACATAATAGTATTATACAATAAAATATATGAATATGTTATAAACTGGTATACGTACAATGTATATATATATACATTTTACTATCTCCGCAAACAGGAAAGCTGTCATTTAATATCCGCAATTAAAGTGGTCATCAATCAAATAAAAATGAACATTAAAAAAAAAAATAAAAACATTGTCGATAATAAAGGAATTGAAAGGACGAAGATATAAAACCAAAAAAAACAACTAAAATATAACTGTGAAAAATAATAAACAGTTTATTATAAAAATATTACAAAGGAAAGAAAAATATAACAGTTAAGAAAACCTGCCCCGCCATAGGATACGAATTCTATTTAAATTTTTTCAAATTGACAATAACTCCTATTTCTGCTCAAAATTATTTGTGATTAACAGGAATCTTACAGTATTTCGATAATAATCAATTGGAACAAAATTATTATACCTCTATAATAATACCGGAGTATAGTTGAAAATATGTATGTATATTATGTATAGGTCTAAAAATAAACCTATATATAACATAAAAATTTAAGAAGTTATTGAATATTTAATGATAAATTTTCTATAAGCCGGAAAATTGTTAATTTCGACTATGTAATTACTCCTCTGAAGTACGACTTTAATAAAAAGACTGATGTAGTTAGGAATTTTATTTACACTTAAAGTATTATGTGCCCTATAATAAAACAATATATGTAGGGCCAACTGAAAATTGGAATATTGTATAACATTCCGTTTGTTAGGTCTTCCAAATAGATGAACTTATTAAAATTTTAACTTATTTGGGGAAAAAAAAAACAAATTATTCTCTACAATCACCCATGTTATTCATCGTAATTTCATGTAAAACGAAAAAATTAATTTTGTATACTACACAAAAATTTGCACACTTGCACTGTTAAGAGTACAAATTAAAAGAGTGTACCGTAATTCTGTTAAAACATAAAAAAACAAAAAATTAACAAAGCAAGAATTGTAAAAAATTCCCGGTCTTGCCCTCCCTTTTTTTTCAACATGTTCGATATTATTGTTTTTTTTTTTGTGTTTTTTCTCCGTATATTGTTTTAACACTCCACAACAAAAGGACCTCCATATTTTCAACATTGTTTTTTTTTTTTTTTTGCAAAAATTCCTTATTTCCTTGTATTAAAAAAAATTTGTGTGACAAAATAAACCAAAAAAAAATTCAAAAAAAAAAATATAGAAAAGTGCTACTTGTTTTGATACTTCTCTTCCTCTATAATGCTATTCTGTACCGTTAAAGGAAGCTACTATATATCTTGTAATTCATTAGCTGATGCATCATCAATGCTGTAATTTGTTTGCTATTTTTTTTTTTCTTATAATTTTTTTTTCTATACTGATTTAGAAGGAAAATAGAAGGATAGTGTTATTAAATTGCAAGCGCAAAAAAAGCAGGACACTATAAAAATATATAGTGTAAGAAAGTAAAGAAGAAAATACAAAAAAAAAAATAATATAAAGGCGATAGAGAATTGAACAAGAAAGAAAGAAAGAACAAAAAAAAAGAAAAGTAAATGAGGGCAACAACATCCGGTTTGATGACTTACTTTATATACTCTTGTAATATAATGGTAAAGTGTGGTTATTTTCATCACAATTTTTTATCACAACCTATATACGGTCTTATGTACTAGTGTATGCGTGTATATATTTAATATGTACCCTGTATATTAAATGAAAAACATTGTTAATTTACAAAATGAAAAAAAAAAACGAGTT